AGATTCTGCTGGCACATGTCTTGGAGGCTTAGGTTGAATATACCTCTATAAATATACCTGGATTTGTCCAGATCTTCTTTCTCTTTGATGCCAGAGCCCTTTCTTATACTTGAGACTGAAGGCATAAGGACTTGAACTCAAAATTGCTTAATTCAAGTACCTGTGATACCTAAGTTGTATCCTTGAACAGGGCCAAATTAGAAGTGGCATTTCATTTTTCTGCTGCATGGGGTGAAGCTCCATTCCACCTCTCCCTTTCCTTTTTTCCCTGTTAATTTGGTTTTCTTTTCAGCTAACACTCAAACATTCTGTGCTCAGGAATAAATGTGATAAATAGACTCACAAAATGAAAGGCTATCTGTTACAGGTAACATTAGAAGCTGAAATCTGGATGGTGATCCAGAGACATGATTCCAGCAGACCTTCATGTTTCAACACTAACACATATAAGCAAAACCTGGTTTACTTACTAACCAACCACAAAACAAAACAAGCTAATTGATAAACTACAAGGGATATGGAAAGCTCTTGAAGCGACAGTTCCCATTGTTCAGTACTTAAGGAACTCTCTGGGCTATCTATAACTTATAATTCGATTCACAAACAGTTTGACACCATCCAACTGTCAAACAGTTTGGGCTGGTTATTGTTGTGTTGTATTGATAAAACTCACAAATGTTTTGTATTGCTGTGAACCTTGAACACCCGTCAAGTATTTAGAAGCTACTGTGTTATTTTTCGGTGGCCTCATTTTGCTTCCAAACTATCAGAGGGAAAAAGTGGCGCGAGGAAGAAAATAGTAGAGTGTGAAATGGTCTACTGCTCCTTTTTATCCCTGCTCTCCTACAATATTTTTCATCTAATTCCTACTCCCAATTTGCTATTATCATAGCATAATGATCATCATCGTTGTCGTCATCTTAGAACTGCAGAGCTGGAAGGGATACTAGGAATCTTCAAGTCCAGTCCCTATCAAGGAGGTGCAGTTGGGAATTGAAATCCCAACCTCTTGCTCCTCAGACAGATACCTAAACCACAGATCAAGCAGTGTGTGGATTATACTATTCTGGCTACAAATTAACAAAACACACCTCTGAACTTCATAAACAGAAATCATGATGATGTGTCATTTTATTCTTTAAGAGAGAAAGAAAAACCATCTCTAGTATTTTAGATCATTTCAAACCCATATTTATAGATTTCTGTGAATTACTTGGTAAATTACAAGTTTCCTTGGAAATAAATAATTCATAGAATAAATATGGAAGTGCGGGGACATGTCGTGATAGCCTCTATAGCCACTCTGCCCCATAAGAAGAGTCCAAACATGAAGGTCACTGAATTTTAAGTATCAACAATTAAGGAGGGGGGGTCTTTTGTAAAGGTAATAACTCTAAATTGTTTGCCTCACACCAAATTACTCTCAAATATTTTGTACTACAACAGGAATAACTTGCAACAATACAGTGTTACTAGGATATCCATTTTCATCCAGCTATTGAGAAAACTGCAACTAAACTCAAAGGAAACCAGGAAACCTGGGGGGGGGGGATATGTCAGGTGATATTCCTCTTATTCAAAAAGTTCCAGGGCTTCTACTCTGAGAGTGTTGACTCTGCTATGCCTGTTTATTGCTATATTCATGAACCGGTTTTTATGGTTTATCTGCTGTTAGAAAAATTGAGCTGTCCTAGATGCAAGAACAACTATTCTACACATAAAATCATAGAACAATTGAGTTGGAAGGGGCCTATAAGGTCACTGAGTCCAACTCCCTGCTCAATGCAGGAATCCAAATCAAAGCAAATCTGATAGATGGTTGTTCAGATTTTTATTGAATACCTCCAGCATTGGAGCACTCACCACCCCCTGAGGTAATTGGTTCCATTATCATATTGCTTTCCAAAGTTTTTTTCCCCAGATATTCAACCTAAATCTGGCTTGTTCTAGCTTGAGCCCATTACTACATATCCTGCATTTTGGGATGATCGAGACCAGATTCTGCCCCTCCCTTGTATGTCTACCTTTCATGTATTTGAGAAGTGCTATCATATCTTAGTACATTACAACTTTTATTTTAACAACTTTTAAGAAAGTTTCAACATACATGTCTGCTGAACTTTGAATGGAACTATTAAATATTAGTACTGACTGAGATCAAATATATGTGTGAGTGTGATCGCTATTAAATATCCTAGAGTGCAACCAGGAAAAAGTCAATTTTAGGTTAATATAACAACTGTTTTTGACAACTATTTGAAAAGTAACAAAGCACTTCATCCTTCATTATATCAACACATGATTAGAAAAGTCAGAAATTGTTGAAATACACTATAATCAAGATAAGCGTCCTTCGATTAGTAATAAGGTTGCTTAATTTTTCATCAGAATACCACCCCGTAAATATTATGTTTTGAATTTCTTATTCATAGTGCCAGATTTTAGATTACTGAGTAAATCACAGTTAATTTTTCTTGACACAGCCTTTTTTCAGCACTCTCTGATATATAATATATTGCTATTACCATGGGTTCAAAAATAACAAAATTAGCTCTTGACATTCATAGTATATGAACTGATCAAAGGAAGGATCAAGGTTCAGTATAACGATTTAGGACAGATTCAGAATCTACTCACACAAGCAGAATATTCAAGGGATTTTTTTACCTCCCCTTTCCAGCTAAATATTTATAATAGCAACAATAATCTTAGAACTGCAGAGCTGGAAGTGACCCTATGGATAATCAAGTCTAGCCCCTCTCAAGGAGGCACAGGGGGAGTTGAAGTCCCAACTTCAGCCGGATACCTGAACCACTGAGCTATGCAGCAGTTTTCATGTGACATTGCCAATGGCTGAATCCTGAAAGAACAGTACAATGGTGCCCTGCAAGACACTGAAAATGTGTTCCATTGAAATTGCTGTTTAGCGAAATCATCGTCTTGCAAAAAGTTTTTCCCCATTGGAATGCATCGAAACCTGTTTAATGCATTCCAATGGAGAAAATAGTTGTCGTCCAGTGAAGATCGCCCATATGGAAGACATTTTAAATCGCTGTCTTGCAAAAGAAAACACCCTAGGGAAGCCATTTTGCAGAGCAGCCAATCAGCTGTTGAATTGTCCTCTTGCTAAGCATCAGTCCCAAAAAAAAAGTAACACCCTAGGGAAGCCATTTGCGGAGCCGCCAATCAGCTGTTAAATCGTCTCTTGCTAAGCATCAGTTCCGAAAAAAAAGCGTCTGGGGAAGCACGGACTGAAACATCATCCAGCAAAATTCCCCCATAGGAATCACTGTTTTGTGAAACGCAATAGTGGTCACAAAACCTCATCATCATGCGGATTCATCATTTTGCGGGGTCGTCATCTTGCGAGGTACCACTGTAGTAGAATGTGATTAAGGAGCAAAGACCATCTTAGGGGAAAGGAAATAGGCTTTCACCTGGGAACTTAATCTAAGAAAGGAAAGTCAGAGCATGCTCTGTTATGTATGAAACTCTAGTATGGTGCAGTGGACTGAGTGATGGTCTAGGACTCAGGAAATCTGGGTATGACTCCCCATGTGGCCATAGAATTTTTAAGTTGTTTATGCACAATATATTGTGAGTTGCTCTGAGTAGACTTCTGTCTAGAAGGGCGAGATAAAAATCAAATAAATAAATAAATAAATAAATAAATAAATAGATAAATAAATAAATAAATAAATAAATAAATAAATAAATAAAAATAGAATTACACTGAAGGGGAAAATCACTCCTTAAATATTTCACACACCTTGGAAACCTGATTAGGATTGCTATGGGCTGGATGCAACTAGATGGTGCATAACACCAACAAATACTTTGTATACCATACACTTAGAACTGGCATTATGCTGGGGAGGAAAGAATGAAGTGATCCCTGAGAATATCAGTCTGCATCACAGAAAGGAACAGAACAAATATTAGAAGGAAACATTGGCTCTAACTACTTTTTTTTTCCTCTGTAGGCCTGCTTCTTGCAAAGCGTCATTGCACCTTTCTCCTCTTCTAGCATATCCTTGATGGGATGCAAAACACAGACCACTTGCTAGAGCAACCATGTGTCTGGCAATTCCTAAGGTTTCCCTGATGTTGTGACAGTTTTGTGTAACCTCAGTATCTAGGCCATGGAAAAGCTCCTTTCTTAATAACCTTCCCCGCCTGCCCCCAAATGCCTTTCCAAACTAAATACTGTATGCTGCTTCGGTGTTGATTTTGAGGCTGCTGCTTCTTCATTTCATGATCCCAGCCAACTAGGGAAGACATAGAAAGTGCATTGACACCATGGCCAGAGTTTTCACACTGCCTCCTTTTGAATGGCAGATAAGATCACATATTTTCCTTCTGGTAAACCAAGCAAGATAATGACAGACTAAATCGTTCTCAAATTATTTTCCTTTTTAAAAAAATAT